CTACAAATAATTAAGATATATTAGATGTTATTCACACGAAGTGCTAGAAACTGTATACACAACATAGACAGCAGCTAAAACCTGTTGACAGCGCAGATCAGGATCAGATGACACCCAATAAAATAACGTGCCATCCTCTGTAAGAGCCATACTATGTGTAGTCCCGGCAGCTATTGCAACCACATGAAGACGTTCCTTACGGTGAAACTTCAACGGGATGTTGCTCATCTTTTTTAGATTCCGGCCAATCACAACTCTCTTTGGAGTAACAAGCCGGTGACCCCAAGTGAAAACCTCTCCATCAGATCCAAGAACAACCGTGTGATACTTAGCTGCAGAAACTCCAACAAAAACCTTTCCCTTCAAATACTCAACAATCCTTGGAGCATAGTTAGAAGCCGAGTTAGATGTTCCGTAGCCTAGCTGACCCTCCTTATTGCATCCCCAGGTGAAAACCTCACCCAAGTCAGAAACTACAGAAGTGTGCTTGTTTGCTGCAGCAACAGCAACTACTTTTGACCTCAGTGAACTCACTCTACGAGGTGTGGGTTGAGTATCTACTGAAGTATACCCAAGTTGACCCTCTGCGCATCATAACCAAATGAATCAACATGCAACCATGAAAGCCAAAAACACTTATTACAAATACCAATTCCTATGCAATAAATTACAACCAAAGAGGAAGCATGACAATTTTGATACACCTAATAAGTCAATGACATAAATATTGACAGCACATTATCTGCTTGGGATAACTCACAGAGTTGGTAAATATGGTTATGTGAATAGCAAAAAAGCATTTACCTCTGTTGGAACCCCAAGTGAAAACTTCTCCAGCCTCTGTTGCAATAACAGTGTGATGTTTAGCAGCAGCAACAGCTTTTACTCGACGTGCCCCTAAACCAGAGATCACTTGTCGTGGAGTTATTACCGCAGCTTGGCCGCTGGAAGAACATCGAATATCCATTATCAAACATAGTTGACGCTTGATACCATGAAAGAAACTAATTAACTATGAACATATGCTGCTAGCATGAGAAAATCTAAGTAGCAAGGTTAAAGAACAGAGTAAGAAATGAAACAAAAAATTATTACATTAAAAGTATAGGTAAAAGAGCATACTATTCAGTTAGAAAATATTATAATTCTTCTTAATAAAATTTTCATAATGCAAAAAAAATATAGGATATACACTACATCCCTCAATATAAGCAGAAAAAACATACTGCTGGATTGTTCTGGAAAGTCAAAAGCTTTCCTCAAATTAAGTTTACCTATGTATATCAAAGTCTGGGTGCCCAAGACGGCCACCTCGTCCAAAACCCCAAGTATAGAGTTCTCCACGGGCAGTGACGGCTGCACTATGAAATTTTGCTGCAGAAACCAACTTGATGACTGACCCATGAAGAGAATCAACTTTACCGGGTAACTTTTGAATGTGTGCATTTCCAGTCCCTAGTTGATAATTCACACCACTTCCCCAACTGAAAACCTCTGTAGCAGCTAAAAGAAAAAAAAAAACATGCAAACAACAAAGAAAGTCAACTGCAATCCACTATGAAATGAATTAAAGACAGAGTTCACAGAAATTGAAATGTCTTCACATCTACCTGAATTTTTCTTTTCAAAGCCCTGTAAAACGGGTCCTGACAACAAATCAATGGGAGCTCTAGATTTGGTGTCTTCCAAAGTGATAGAAGCACCAGACTGTAGAAGGATGCTAGCAATAGCAAGATGACCAAAATGCAGGGCGCGATGAAGGCTACTCCATCCTGATTCCCCATCCTGACACGGTAAATATAGATTTCATAAGCAAATGTACATCAAGCTTTTCTGAACAGACGGGATCGAATTGAAAAACTGACATCATTGAAGATCGATAACCATTTCTTTTTAGGTCAGAGGTCCATAATCATTGTACTGTACCGCTATGAAATTCTGCATGAGTGGATTCCTTCCACGTTTTATTTTCTGAACCTTATCTGGATTGTGAGACAAGAGTGGGTTGCTCTAGTGGTGAGCACCCTCCACTTCCAACCAAGAGGTTGTGAGTTCGAGTCACCCCAAAAGCAAGGTGGGGAGTTCTTGGAGGGAGGGAGCCGAGGGTCTATCGGAAACAGCCTCTCTACCCCAGGGTAGGGGTAAGGTCTGCGTACACACTACCCTCCCCAGACCCCACTAGTGGGATTATACTGGGTTGTTGTTGTTGTTATCTGGATTGTGACATATTTTTCTCTTCTAACTTGTCATGAGAACAAACTTGATACAACATTGAGGACCATGCCCTTCAGTTGTGTGCTCAAATAGGTCCTACAATCTTTCAAGTTATATTGATCTTCAGACATGCCATAAAAATGCAGCTTTTTTCATTTTTCACTCCCTAGTAGTAGCTTACCTGACACAAATCCCCAAGAAAGACGGTCAACGCACACACACATGGTTGGTAAGATGCACCAAATATCACTCCATAGTTACCAACTTAACATTACATAATGTTTCAGCAAAGACTTAGAATAGGCAAGAACACCATGGCTAGAATATTTATCAAAGTAGCATAGTCCAGAAAACAGAGTTCACCATCAGAACATTTGCAAATTAGTCATATGACAAGACACGCACTTAAAAACAAGAATTGAAATAACTATGCCATGAATATGCTGAATTTTTAGATCATTGTCCACCACAATATAAGAAAAATGCAAAAGATTCTTTTAAAAGGGGAGAAAAGAAGGGAAAAGCCAAAAAATGTAATAAATTACTCGCCCTATCATGTGACGGCTAAAACTATGAGAGCAACAAGTCAGCATGCATGTATAAATGACATTAAAAATTGAGATGATCTAAAGGATCAAAAGACCAACACACCCTAGCATCAGGGTCTGCACCAGCAGCAAGTAGCCTCTTAACTATTGGGACATGATTTCTCCAGGTTGCGATATGGAGAGGGGTAAGGCCAAAGGTATTCCTCGCATTGATATTTCCTCCACACCTCTTAAGGAATGCCAAAGACGAATCAACATCAGCTACAGACCCGTCTTGTACAGCAGCCCAGAGATCTTTGGAGCATCCATTGAATGAAAGTTTCCTAGCAGGGATGTGCTGCTTCTGACATGATAATGGAACTACTTCCTCCATTAGCTGAAATAAGTTAGTCTGTATGGTTTGGATGGTTAGCAGCTGTCACTACCACTCACGACAGCAATGACCTTTTGCCAAAATTATATGCTAGTGAATAATGTTCAAAGTCTTCCAAGTTAGTGTTTCTGAGTGTCCAGCAATGAAATCAAGACATCTTGAACCTGCAATGAGACAGGCTAATCTATGTATTCTTTAGAAATCCAGCTCCATCCACACCTCACACCATGAACAAACACCACTAAAAGAGTCTTTGGTATGGCCTGGCATAGAAAATGCCGAAATTTGATAACCAGATTGTTTGACAGAGATTCGCTCGTGATAACATACATGTTTACTCTTAATGTTTATCTATATAGTCCAAATGATGATCCACATATATACCCAAATTAACTAATGCTTTTTAATAAGATGAACACTATAATGTTCTGATTGGTAGTCAGGTAGCAGAGATTGGGGGTTCAATCATGTATCAATATGTAATACATTTAGTTAAAAAAAATGAACATAAAAAGAAGATAACAAATCTTGAAAAGATACTTCATGAAGCCCCCCACCCCAAATTAATCATCGAATATGAGTAACCACAACCACTGATAAATAGCATTTACAATGTTCTTCAGAAATGCATTCATAAACTACATTCCTAGAGCTGCAGCTTCAACAATGCGAAGGAAAGTGCAATCTTTTTGTTGAGAACTTGAATTAATAGTAATTGAGAACAGAAATTGTAGAACTAATCAAGACACCAACAGAACCATCAAGACTCAGTAATAAAATGATCGATTAAAGTACATGAAGATACAAAAATATCATGCACACAAAATTGAAGCAAAACCAAGTTAACCATAAATGAGCCCAATTGGGATCCACAGTTGGTGTAAGATTACATCAAATCTTTAAGAACCAAATCTGAACATGCAGATTGCTACATACAAGAATTTGTCTCAAAAAAGCAAACTTCAGCAGTAAGCAAAGCACAGAACCCACCCCCCAACTAAACACATCCAAAATGTCAGTACTCAGTACCCACCATCTGAAAATGCACACCAAGATTAAATCTTTTTTCCAAATTCGACAACTGGACAGCCCAATAATAACACAAAATTGATCATTAACAGGTTAAAAAAACAACCAGATTGAAATTCAAGAAGATGTGCAATAGAAATGTCACCTTTGACTGGTTAGATGAAAATCCGCAAATTAGCAAAAGATCAAGTCTCTTTTCTCTCTCTCTCTCTCTTCTCTCTCTTGAATAAATATGAATGTATATTAAAGCTATGAGGAGGTGAATAACAGTGTGAAAGATTTTACATTTTAGAGAGAGAAGAGAGAGGAGAAGAACCGGAGAATATACCCTATAGAAACCCAAAAATATATGCAATACAAAAATAGAAAAGGAGAGTTTGAAGAGAACTCCGATGCTGTTGGAGGGTAATATGGTAAAGTTATTAACTGTAAAACATATGGACTACAATGCCCTTTGATTTTGTCTTATATTACGATATTTAAGTATGACGTTGTTTTCGTTGTTTGACGTGCTGCCCTTTCTCTTACATGAGGCCACGATTTCGCTCTAACGTCTCGTGTTCTACGCTCTGCTAACGTGGCTTTAGCATTGGGTGCCACGTTTGATATTTACATCATACTGTTTGGATTCAACTGCCCGGATTTCTTCATTTTTTAGTCTCTTCATTTCATCCAAATTTCTGCTCGGATTAGAGACACTTATTATGGCTAAAATTTAATAGATGAGATTTAATTAAATAAAATAAAATTCTAACTATAATTAAAAAATATTTAATTCTTTCATTTATCCATTCCTAAATAATATATTTTATCTCTCGTCAGAACTTTTCATAATTTCTCCCTCTACGCGCCAAAATACATCTGCTCTCAAGAAAATATCGAAAATCATAGTAGCAGAGAAAATCTTTCAGATTTTTACCATGAAAATCCAGTTCTTGAATGTCATTGTTAGGTTAAAAATCAATAGAGAAAAACACAACAAGTGGAAAAACAGAGAACAAGATAGCAAGTCGTGGAAATTCATTTTTCTGGAATAACTGCTCTGAAATTCTCGTCAGGTTCTTGTTTATACATTAATTCTATTCCTTAGAAGTTATATACTTTTTTGTACATTTCTTGTTGTGGCAATTGTAGAGTAAAAGATTGTATACTATGTAATTGTGGAAATTACTAAGTCGTGAACTTTTTGGTGTGGGAAGAATAGACTGAACCTTTTGGTGTAGAATTTCGAAACTTAACTATTCTGTTCTTTGGTGTACTAGACTTTGACTTGAAAGCAAATAAATTTAAAAGTTTATCATTTTAACTTATAAATAAAATTAGATTTGAATATCTTATGAATCAAGGTTAATTGATCGTCAAACTAGTATAGTTATGCACCATTTTCTTTCATTATTGCTTGTTGAATTGTATCAATCAAATAAAAAATTTGGAGGTTAGCAGGGACTATGCCTCATAATTACTTTATAAGTCAAGTGTTAAGTAAAAGCTACAACAAAGTAAGTGCTCACTTATGATATGTATCTTACTTTCTCTTGTTTAATGGTAGATTTATGGAGATCCCATCTCAAAAGAAACATATGGATGTTTCTAATTTATTTGAGCCAATAAAACTTGGGATGACATTTGATTCAGAAGAGTATGCATATGAATACTACAACAAATATGCTGCTACAATTGAGTTTAGTGTTACAAAAGAATATGCAAACAAAAGTAAAGTCCACAGATATGTGACTTCGAGAAAATTTACATGTTATAAAGAAGGTTATAGAGGAAGAGACAAGCGAGAAGCGATGGTCAAGAAACCTAGAAAGGAAACTAGGACGGGTTGTTTAGCTCACATGGTCGTAAGTCGTCAATCAAATGGGAAGTTTTCTGTCATTTCATTTGAAGAGAAGCACAATCATCCTCTCATTCCTCCATCTCTAGCGCATATGCTGCCATCGCAAAGGAATATTAAACTTTCTTTAGCATATGAAATTGACTTATTGGATGATTCAGGAATATGTCCTAAACCATCTTTTGACTATGCTTTTCGTCTAGCTGGGGGAAAAGCTTCTTTAGGTTATACAAAGAGGGATCACATAAACTATCTTCGTGACAAAAGAAAAGAAAGTCTAAAGCAGGGAGTGGCTCGTAGTTTGGCCGATTACTTTGAAAAAAGAGTAATAAAAGATCCATCTTTTCGGTTTTCTTTACAATTTGATGATGATGGTTTGATAACAAATATTTTCTGGGTTGATGCTAAAATGATAAGGGATTTTCAGATTTATGGAGATGTTGTATCATTTGATACAACATATAGAACAAATAAGGAGTATCGACCATTGTCTTTGTTTGTTGGATTAAATAATCAAGGGAAATGGTTGTATTTGGTGCTGCCCTTTTATACGAAGAAACAGCTGAAGCATTTGAATGGCTTTGTACTGTATTTTTTAGAGCTATGTCTGCAAATATGCCACAAACATTCATCACAGATCAAGATCCTGCAATATATTTAGCAGTCTCATTAGTGATGCCACAAACATATTATCGTCTATGTATATGGCACTTGGAACAAAATGCATTTAAACATCTTAACCATATCTTTAGAGCTCATAAATCATTTCCGAGTGATTTTAGCAAATTGCTTTATTATTACGAGTATGAAGATGATTTTCTAAATGCATGGGAGGAAATGCTTGAGAAGTACGACCTTAAGGATAATAGTTGGTTGAAAAACACTTTTGCTATAAGGGAAAAGTGGTCCATGACATATGGTAGAAATGTATTTTCAGCAAGTATGCGAAGTACACAATTGAGTGAAAGTTTTAATGGATCACTAAGGGGCTACTTGAAATCCGATTTAGATATTGTACAGTTCTTTAAGCATTTTCAAAGAGCTATTGATGATAAGTGTGCTAATGAAAGTAAGTCAAATTTTGATATTACCCAACGAATATCTGTCTTGAAGGTTAAGCTTCCTTTATTGATCCATGCGAGAGAAATATATAATGTAACCATATTTGATTTGTTCGAAAAGAAGTGGGAAAGGTCATTACTTGTCTCTATAAATGGCTTTCATGATGAAGGAGAATTTTGTAAATACAATGTTAGCACGCATGGAAGTCGCAGAGAACATGTAGTAGTAGTGAAGTGCTCAACAAAGGTAGTCTCTTGCAGTTGTAAATTGTTCGAATTTTCGGGTGTACTATGTGGACATGCTCTAAAGATTCTGGACACATTAAATATCAAAGATAAGATTCCTGACCATTATATATTAAAAAGGTGGACAAAAGATGTTACCAACTTGGTTGCAATGGAGATTAAAGTGTTTAGTGAGGGAGGTGATTCAAAAGTTGAAGTTAGTATAAGGTATAGACATTTAGGCCAAACTCTTGTCCAAATTGCAAGTGAAGCTTCAGAATCCAAAGAAGGATATGAGTTGCTTGCAAAGTATTCCAACGAGATAATTGCAAAGTTGAAGGAAGTAAAAATAAAAAATGAATCTCATGAAAGTCCACCAGTTCCAAGCAAAGTTCTCCATGATGAGACAATATTTGTTGATAGTGCAAATGTCACAAAGGTGATAGGGTTAAAGAAGAAGCAATCAACTCGTCGCTCCAATACTCGACCAAAGAGTTTTGTGGAAAAGACCAGGAAGACGAAGAATAAGATTCAATCGCCAGTATCTCCTCCATTGCAAACTGTCCAACATGTAAGTCACCTTGCAGACCTCCAAGCACCATGTCCGCCATTGTCTAATGCCACAACGAATACGGTATGTCATAATAACTATATTTTATTCCTTGTGTGGTATTGTGTAAGCTTATTTTTCTCTTTACGTGATAGGGATAAATTCTTACCCATGGTATTCTTCAGAGTTGTCTCAGCTAACATCTCATGGAAGTCTATCTCAACTCCTAAGAGTTAGTATAATTTTTTTTGACGATTTTATGTCCTTATTTTTTTAAATAATACTTCTCATATGAATTATTTTACTTGCAGGATATTTCATTTCATAATTTAAAGAAGCACTCTCAAGGTTGATCGCCAATATCATGAAAGAACGAAGGTTGCATAGCAGTATAACTTTGTCAACACAAAGATGATTTCAGAACTATTTATTCCAAAAACAATCAGTGACTTTTTCCAGCTTTGGAGTATAGTTTATAAATGCTTCCATATTGAAAAATATAATTCTCTGTTATGACAAACATCAAATTGCAGTAGAATTGAGATAATTCTTGGTTCTGTTTATTAATTATTATGACTTTTGTATTTATGTGTTGTGAATAAATAAGAGGATGGATGACTTTTGTGTTGGTGAATTTATCTTGCTGCATTCTTTCATTACTGAAGCAATTGAGCAGATGATCTACATTCCCTTTGAAATTATCTTGTACTTATAATTGATGGTCTGGTGTTCACCTAGAAAATCAAAGGAGACGCATAGCTTGCCAACTTTATTATTGTGGGAAAGAACTGCTCAAGTCTTCCCTTATATAAATCTCAAGAAAACAATTCATGATACTTTTGGTTTACCTCTTTGGGAACACTTATGCATATGCTTTTACACGGCTAAGTTGAAAAAAGTTGCTTTGAAATTGGTCCTGGAACTTACTTTTATTATTTGTACCGTTCTTAAATTATTATCAAATGTTGGAACTTACTTCTAATATTTTTTATTATTTAATGATTATGTAAGAAGATTTTGTAAAAGTGAAAAAAATTAACTCGCGAAAAGAAAATTACTATTTTTGTAGAAGTGAAAAAAGAATTAACTCACGAAAGAAAATTACTACGAGAAAGAGAAGAAATCTTAGATAATCTATAGCTATAATTGTGGGATTGAAAAAGATATTATTTGGGAATGGATAAAGGAAGAAATTAAATACTTTTAACCATGGTTAGGACTTTATTTTATTCAATTAAATCTCATCTATTAATTTTTAACCATGACAAGTGTCTCTAATCCAAATAAAACTTGGAGAAATGGAGAGACTAAGAAATAAAGGGGAGTTGAATCCATACTATTTTATTTGTTTTTAGAACTTTTTCCAAAAAAAAAGTTAAAGTGAACAGCTTACCCTTAAAAAGAATTACCCTTTAAAATAAACAAAAGACATTGAAGAGGTTCTAGGAGAATTGTCCATTTTTCCACTCTTTCCACCAGACTTTATCGTATTACCTTCTTCAATCTACAATTAATAAGTATATTTTTGTGTCTTACTGTAGCGATTCGGTCGATTGTTTTGAAAGTAATAGTCCCGATTCTCTATTTATTATTTCCCCCGTATCTATTTCTGCTATTATGACTTATCGGGAGGCTTCGTTTTATTTTTTGGAGTGTTGCGGGACACTTAGTCCCTAAAACAGGAGCTTAACCCTTAGAATTTGGACAATAGTCGGAACTGTGTGAAAACGACTCCGGAATGAAATTACGTCGGTTCTGTTAGCTCCGTTAGGGTTTAGGGGCGTGTCCGGATTGTGTTTTAGAGGTCCGTAACTTATTTAGGCATGAAATGGCGAAAGTCGAATTTTTGGAGATTTTGACCGATAGCGGACTTTTTGATATCGGGGTCGGATTCCGATTCCGGAAGTTGGAGTAGGTCCGTAATGTTGAAGACTTATGTGCAAAAATTGGGGTCAATCGGACGTGGTTTGGTTAGTTTCTGTATAGGTTGTCGAATTTGGAAGTTTCAAGTACTTTAAGTTTGAATCGGAGGATGATTTCTGATTTTAGCATTGTTTGATGTGGTTTGAGGGTTCGACTAAGTTCGTATGGTGTTTTAGGATTGGTTGGTATGTTTGGTTGAGGTCCCGGGGGCCTCGGGTGAGTTTCGGGTGGTTAACGGACTTGGAATGGAAGTTGAAAAATTTCTGAAGTTTGGTCTTTTACTGGTATGATCGCACATGCGAGGGTATTAGCCGCATGTGCGGTAGGTTGAGCGCAAATGCGGAAGGGGTGGAGATCAGCAAAGGTCGCAGGTGCGATGGTTTCTCCGCACCTGCGATAGCGCAGATGCGGACCAGTGGTCGCAGAAGTGGAGGCAGCCAAGGTTAGTTATTTTCGCAGGTGAGCCCACATTTTTCGTACCATCGGGCGCGCAGGTGCGAGCCCAGGCTCCGCAGGTGCGGAAATACCTGGGTAGTGTTTAAAACCGAAGGGCTTCGTGATTTTTGTCATTTTGAACTTTGCAAACTCGGTTTAGGGCGATTTTTGAGAGTATTTTCGAGGCATTTCTTGAGGTAAGTCCCTTGTGCTTATTTTTTATCAATAATCTTATTTCCCCATTTATTTTTCCACCTAGTTAGTGTGTATTTAAGATGGAATTTGTGAGTTTAAGGCTAGGGATTTGGAAAGTTTGAACTGTGGATTTGAAGGACCATTTGGTGTCGGGTTTTAGTAAATTTGGTATGGTTGGACTCGTGAGTGAATGGGCTTTCGAATTTTGTAATTTTTTTCCGATTCCGAGACGTGGGCCCGGGTCGACTTTTTAGGGAGAATTTCGGAATTTTTGTTAAAGTATTGATTTCATTAATTAGATGAGTCTATTATGGTTGTATTTATGATATGCAACTATTTTTAGCTAGATTTGGGCCATTCGGAGTCGGATATTCGTGGAAAAGGCATTGTTACCAATTGATTGAGCTTGGTTCGAGGTAAGTGGCTTGCATAACCTTGTGTGGGGGAAATTTCTTTAGGATTTGTACTATTTTTGATATATGAGTGCCGTGTACGTGAGGTGACGAGTACGTACACGGGCTAATTGTGTAAAACCCCGATTTTTCTACTAAGTAATAACCCGATTTCATTCTTATTTGAGTTTCATCAGCATGTGTAGTATCCTGCTAGATTAGAATAGCATGCCTACTTGCCCTAACTGTTTACTTGAACTACGTGCAGCATGTTTAGTAAATTTACTTATTTTTCCTTAACTGGTACTTAGATTGAACTGTAGAATTTCGTGCCGTAGCTATTGAATTCTATTGTTTGGCTGCATATTTACTTTGAGATTACGGAACGGTATTCCGGGAGATCCTCCTGTACTGCATATTTACTTTGGGACTACGGAACGGTATTCCGGGAGATCCTCCTGTACTGCATATTTACTTTGGGACTACGGAACGGTATTTCCGGGAGATCCCCCTGTACTACATATTTACTTTGGGACTACGGAACGGTATTCCGGGAGATCCCCATGTACTGCATATTTACTTTGGGACTATGGAACGGTATTCCGGGAGATCCCCCTGTACTGCATATTTAATTTGGGATACGGAACGGTATTCTGGGAGATCCCCCTATTTTGCATATTTACTTTGAGACTACGGAACGATATTCCGGTAGATCCCCCCCGTTATGCACATTTACGTTTGGGACTACGGAACGGTATCCTGGGAGATCCCCTGTTGTTATTTTCTGTGTACTGAGCTGTTGACTTGCTATGATTTCATTCCTGTTAAATTTCAGTACTTATTTTTACTGTAATATTTTATTCTGTCTTAGTTATTATATATATACCAGTAGGGCCCTGACCTGATCTCATCACTACTCGACCGAGGTTAGGCTTGGCACTTACTGGGTACCGTTGTGGTATACTCATGCTACTCTTTTGCACATATTTTGTGTGCAGATCCAAGTACTTCTTATTAGCCCCGCTACTAGCTGAGAGTGCTTACTGCTGTACGGAGACTTCAAGGTATATCTGCCGCATCCGCAGACCTCGGAGTCCCCCTCTATTCCCTCCTATGTCATTTACCTTCCTTAATTCTGTTATTAGACTCTGGTGTATAGAGATATTAGTTTCCTTCTGTAGCTTGTGATTTATGATGTTTCGGGTTTTGGGAATATTGTGTATTACTGGAGTGATGGCTATTGTACATGCTAAGCGGCATTGTTACCAGTCATTTAGTTACCCGTTGTAGATAGTTGTTAAGTTTTACTTCTATTTTTGTTATTTCTGCATTTCGTTAGGCTTACCTAGGCGTAGAGACTAGGTGCTGTCACGACATTTTACGGAGGGAGAATTAGGTCGTGACAAGTTGGTATTAGAGCTCTAGGTTCATTGGTGTCGTGAGTCACAAGCCGGTTTATTAGAGTCTCGCGGATCGGTACGGAGATATTTGTACTTATCTTCGGGAGGCTATGGAACTGTTAGGAAAATTTCATTACTTTGATTCCTTGTCGTGCGAAAATTGTTGACTTCGAAAATTCTAAACTTCTGTATTCTATTCTCTCACAGATGGTGAGGACACGTACAAGTGGATCTGATGACCAGGCACTCGTGCCCCTGCTAGAGCCGCGAGAGGCCGAGGATGTCCACGTGGTGCAGCCAGAGCACCCGCATGAGCTGCTACAGAGGAGCCCCCAGTAGCTCCAGCTGGAGGGCAGACACCTGAGGCACGTGTTCCTGCACCAGCCCTCCAGGAGACTCTAGCCCAGTTTCTGAGCATGTTCAGCACCTTAGCTCAGGTTGGATTGATTCCACTTGCCCCTGCCATATCTCAGGCCGGGGGAGGAGTACAGACTCCCGTCGCCGGTACTCCAGAGCAGCGGGTTCAGGTCGACCAAGTTCCAGAGATTGTACCAATATAGCCGGTAACTCCAGCTCAGCCCGAGGTTAGGGCAGTAGCTTCTGAGGTGGAGCAACTCATACTTGAGAGGTACAAAAAGTACCACCCACCTACCTTCAGTGGATTGGCTACAGATGATGCTCAGGGTTTTCTGGAGGAGTGTCATCGTATTCTTCGTACTATGGGTGTAGCGGAGACGAGCGGGGTTTCTTTTACTATATTCCAACTTAGAGGAGCAGCCTATCAGTGGTGGCGTGCTTATGAGTTGAGTAGTCCGGTTGAGGCAGCTTCACTTATATGGACTCGATTCTCGGACATGTTTTTGAGAGAGTATGTCCCTCAGAGCCTCAGAGACTCATGGCGCGCGGAGTTTGAGCAGCTGCGCCAGGGTTCTATGACTGTGTCAAAGCATGTAGTTCGCTTCAGTGATTTGGCCCGACATGCACCGGCCTTGGTTGCCACCGTTCGAGAGAGGGTTCGACGGCTTATTGAGGGACTCCACCCCAACATCCGGATTAGTATGGCCAGGGAGTTGGAGATGGATAATTCTTATCAGCAGGTGGTAAGTATTGCCAGGAGATTGGAGGGCATGCTTGCCCGGGATAGAGAGGAGATGGAGGCCAAGAGGTCTCGAGAGACTGGTTATTATTCTAGAACTTGCATTCTAG